TGTAAACCCAAGGTGTGGAGAGATAGCTCTAAGAGATGGAGAGATGTGTTGTCTCTCATGTGTAGAGGGCTTATAATTTATAAACACAAAACATTAGTTAAAATGGTAGCGTAAGAGATAGATTGCTAGTCATTTGGGAAAGATAGTTACAGTTAAGGATACGTATAATTAAAGATAGTCTTGATCTTCAAGTAGTGGTTATCTCAGTAATTACTCCTCATGTGCATTAATTTTCTTGGATTTCCTGAACTTTGAATTAGGCCGAATCCATGAGTTGGACTCGGCCTGCTTTGTAACTAATTTGGGCCTACTCTATGAATTAGACCTCGACGTAGTTGGATTTGGGCTCATCAATTTCTATTAAAAAAAGTTTTTGAAAATTAAAACTTATAAAATCTTACTTATTATCGATTATGTCATAAGAAATATTGAATGAATTAGTCATATTATCCATTGAAAATAATATTTTAGCAAAACTTCAATGTAAAAGCTTAATCACTAAATTTACATAACAAAAATCAAAAGAAATAATTTTTAAGTAAAATATGAATCATATAATATATTTATAGTAAATTTTAAAAAGACCTCATTTAAAACTTCTGCATTGGGCCCCCATTTACTTCGAGCCGACCTTGTAAGTTGAGTAACTTCCTCACTAACAAAAACCTCATTAAGAGACCAGACATTAATTGTGAAAATTACGGATAAGTACCATATAAACTATTTATTTGTGAAAAATAATTTGTTGAAAATGTATTGCAGATAAGTACTATTAGTTGGAAATGTATTGTATCTAGATACACAATGATAGTTTTTAAAAAATTTTCTTTAATGAAATACATTTTTTCATAATTCATTGACTATTTAGTTTGACAATTCTTTTTTTCATGAGATTTTTTTTTATTAAATCAGTTATTTACTATGCTAAAAGACCTTTATTTTTTGAATTTTATACTTATATCATCTTCTTATACTTTAACAGTTGGTGTTATACTTCAACGTCTGATTTTTTACTTCGACGCATGGTGCTCGTTTTCTTAAACATCTTCTTCTACTTCAACTTTTCTATTTATGGCTTTTTAGCATCAAGTGAAACGAAAAACTAAAATCTTACCCCTCACCACCTTCTCCGTAGTCCCACCACGATTCATTTTTGCAAGAGTTTTCTTTTTACTTTGCATCTAACGAACTAGTTTGGCTAATCTATGTCCAAATCGGAATATATTCATTCATTGAAGCAATCTGCTCCTGCTCCCATTTGTACTATTTCATCTGATTTTCTACTTCAACATCAAATTGTTGTATTATGTTGTTACATTGTAATGTAACACTGTCATTTCTTAAAAATAATATATCTGTTTGTCGAATTGTAGATATTACATTGTGTAAAGAATACCATTTAAATTGTGCATGAATTAAATAATGTAATTGAACATCTTTTGTTAGTTATTAAAGTGTTAATGAAGTTATTTACACTGTGATGTATTATTTTCATATCACACTGTATTAATCAATGGTACTCCAACATATGCACAGTCAACGCATAACCAAAAGATTTTTTGGTTCTCAAAATTTTCATTTGTTTGTGTTTTTGATTTGGTTGAAATATCATAGATTATATGGCTTTTTTTTTTTAATCTAAAACACCCTATTTGTGCAATATTTTAGTGGCCTGATTTCATGGGGCTAATGCTTGATTTTCAACTGTTTTCAAACCCATGAACGTACATTTATAAATAAAAAAGATTTCTGTATAAATAATTTTATCAGAAATACTTTTATACAATTAAGTCTTGTATTGTGTACCGATTTATAACAATTCCTTAATTGTAATATCTAATCTAAAAACCACATGTCGAATGCTAAACCTACGTAATTAAAAAAGTATCATCACCAAATAAAATGCTCAAAATTGTGGTGTCCACGTTGTTTCTAGGCACTAATTCTAGTCTTAACAAGTTCTATTCATCAAAAATAAAAACAAATTCTCTCCATCAAATGACCTGACATATTTATTATCATTAAATATGTGGGCCCCAATAACGTTTATTTATGGTGAATGTGTCATACCGTATTTTGATAACATTTATATTGCTATTTCTAATGTCTGTGCTTAAATTTTTATGATGATGAAGTAGCAAAGATTTGTGCAAGGTGATGGTTGTTAAGAAATTTGGGCCCACAAACCTAAATCTAATAGAAATTTTTTTTATGAGTTAAACACACTATTTTGTAGGCCCACATGCATGCATGTAATAAAATAGATAAGTGTTTCATGAAAAGGAATAGATAAATTGATGAGCGACAATAATTATTGAAAGTACATAACGTTTTATTGTTCATGTAATCACGTGACATTGTCAATGTCAAATAATGTAATATATTTAACCCACTGAAAATTTTCTTCTATCAACTGTTGTGTATTGATGGAACTATTCGAATTTGACATTTGAGTTTGTAAAAATTCTTTATGTATATATTGGCGGAACTCCTTCGTGTATTGAGTTTGTAACAATTTTTATATCATATTAAAATGTAATCTAGTGAGAGACTCAAATTTTTATGCTTCGTTTGTTATGATGGAAAAATAGAATGATAAAAAGTTAGAAGAATGAAAAATTAGAGGGATAAATAAAATATCATGTTTGGTAATGGAAGAAAATAGGAAGGATGGAAAAGTAGATGAATTAATTTTCCTTTCAACTCACCCAAATCAATCTTTCCAAAATCAGAAGGAAAGTAGATGAAAAGTTAATTATTTGTGTTGAGATGTATCTCATTTGTCTATATGCCTTTTTTATATATAAATATACTATGTATATATTAATTTCATATAAAAATAAAATAACAAAATATGTATTTCTACATATTTTTTTTAAAAAAAAATTAAAAAATAAATAAATAATAAAAATTTAAAAAATAAAAAAATTATTTTTTCCATCTTAAATAGGGGTGAAAATTTTTGACTCAACACGATGACACGACTTGAACTCGACACAAATTTTATGACACGAACTTGATTAACTCGAACACAAAAATAAATAGGTCAACTTGTAACTCGACACGACAAATTAGTTAAATGAGTTGAGTTAGGTGTGACTAATGTTCTACACAAACTCGTAATGACTCAACACGAATCTGACACGATACGACTCGATTGTCATCCCTAATCTTAGCTAGCACAAAAAAAAAATTGGTCTTTTTTATTTTATATTCATCTAACTAAATACAAAGGAAAGAATGTGTATCATTCCTACTTTCCTTACTTTAAAGATAAAAAGTGTATGCCTCTTACTTTCCATCATTCCTACCAAACGAAGCATTAATCTTTTACAATTTTAAGTTATCATAATTTTTAGTAATATTAGGTGGCTTCTGCTAGGAGTGCAACTCGGGCGGGTTAGACAAGTTGGACAGTCAACTCTAGCCTAACCCTAAGTATATAATCTTCAACTCTAACTCTAACTCTAACTCGGGTTGAGAAACCGAGTTTAATTCGGGCGGGCTCGAGTTGAATTCGGGTTAATGATTTTCGAGTTGATTTCAGGTTACTTTATGGGCTGATTTCGGAATATTTCAATCAAGTTTTAAACATAAAAACCAAGATATTAAAAACTCAATGTCTGAGATAATACAACCACAACCATACATATCACAAATAAATACAACAAGAATTCTTGCACAAACATAGAGTTCACTGCTTAAACAAAATCCTTACACAACCAAACTTCTTGAGAGAGACTAAGAGTGAGTGAGGGTCTAAGGCAGGCGCACACTTGAGTTGAGATATTTTTTTTTTTAACCCTTGGATAAAATTATATTTATATAGTATTAATTTGAGTTGAACCCGATTATTAAATCGAATTGAGCCCAATTTTAATATTCAGGTTCAACTCGTAAACCCGATGGCTCAACCCTAGACTCGTGCCAAATTGAATTCGGATTGAGGTTTTTTGGCCCAAGACCAACCCAAGTATTAAAAATTCTAGCCTAAGTCCTAATATTTTCAAGTTGAAATCGGGTTAGCCCATCCAAGTTGCACCCCTAATTTCTGCTCATTGGTCTATTTTACTTTTATTTCTTTTTTTTTTTCTAATAAGGATAACTTTTTCTCTTATCAATTCTCCTTTTTTTTTTTTTTGATCAGTTAGCAATTCTCCTTTAAATTTTTCACCATATCTAAGTATCTATACTTTTATACTATATATATAAAACAATCAATTTAGGAAAGTGAGTCCTTGAATACTAGTTTCTTTTAATTTTAAATTATTTAATAAAAATGCGTTGATCTTATCCAATTAAATTGTTACATGTGGATTCTAACTACTCTTATCATCTTTTAAAACTACTTTAAATTTGAATTTTTCATCATCTTTAGTAACTAACTCATATTTAATTTTTTTTAAAAATTTAATTTACCATGTAATTTTTTAATAATGGGGTGGGAGATTGGGGTAGCGTGGGGTGGCAGTAAGATGGTAACGATAAATGATCAAAAGAACTGTTCATCATAACTTTAAGGGATAACACAAATTATAATAGTGACGAGTTGTACATTCAAACGTTTTTAGTTCGAATTTTAACAATCTTTTAAAGTCAAGTCATAAACGATTTATCCGTCACGAATTATTTTGACTTTGATCAAATTTGAAAGAAGATTAATCAAAATAAGTTTAAATTAATTCAAACACCTTTGATCATTGATAAAAAAAATTTAAAAACTACTGTTCATCACACAGTGGGCTGCAAGTAGAAATAGTGACGAATCTAGTCTTTTATAATAGGAGAGAATAGGAGAGTAAAAATGCAGGTGATTTTAGTACCGACATATAATTAGTATTTTCGTAAATATCAACAACACCAAGGGTAACAGAGTAGTATTTATGCAGGATTCAACCGTTTGCAAAGTGGTGGTTTTGGATTATAAAACGGTTACAAAATTGACGGCAAAGACGTCTCCCCTCTTAGCCTCTCTCTCTCTCTCTCTCATCTTCTCCATATTTACACAACAGAAGGCACAATCACCCTTATCAGATTCTAGGGTTTCTTTTGTTTCCACAGATCTGATCACCATGGTTCGCGTAAGCAACGGATTGATAACATTCCTAAACCTAGTTTCACTGATCATATCTGTTGCAGCCATAGGCTATTCCCTTTGGTTGTACACGCACAATGGCACTTTGTGCCAAAAAGTAATTCAAAAGCCTCTTTTAATTCTAGGTGTGTCACTGTTGTTCATGTCATTGCTTGGATTGATCGGTTCGTGTTGCCGAGTCTCTTTCCTTCTATGGATATACTTGTTTGTAATGTTTGTGTTGATCGTGGGGTTGTTTTGTTTCACGTTGTTTACGATCATTGTAACGAACAAGGGTGTTGGGAAGGCGATATCGGGAAGAGGGTACAAGGAGTATAGGCTCGGTGACTATTCGCGGTGGTTGCAGAAGTATGTGGTTAATGGGAACAATTGGGATGAGATCAAGAGTTGTTTGGTTGATCTTCATTTCTGTCATAAACTTGCGGGCGAGAAGGCTGAGGAGTTTTACAAGCATAGCTTGTCGCCTACAGAGGTAGTTACTATAACTGTATATATACCATTTATTTTTTTTAATGCTTCCATTTTTATTTTTATTTATCCAATTTGAGTGTATTGATTTGTTTATGAAGTTTCTATGTAAGTTGTAGCATGTTGATTCACTGTTGTGAACAATTGAGGCGAAGTACCATTTATTTTTTTTAATGCTTCTATTTTTATTTTTATTTATCCAATTTGAGTGTATTGATTTGTTTATGAAGTTTCTATGTAAGTTGTAGCATGTTGATTCACTGTTGTGAACAATTGAGGCGAAGTATATTGTAGGGAATTCAAGTTCAAATCTCATAAAATGTTTACAGTTTCGTGATGATGGTTGATGGGTGAATGCATGTTTAATTTAATTAATTTCTTTTTTCTTTTTTTTTTTTTTTTTTGGGGGGGGGGGGGGTTCACTATCTTGTGTTGTTTTTTGCAATCAAGTTAACTACTGTTTATAAATCCTGTGGGTGTGGGTATTGGTCAAGTTTCATGCTCTTTGTGATTACATTCCAGCGTCTTACTGATTAGAGAGAATTGTGCTAATAGTTAAAAAAGTATTGTTCACTCGCGATTGCCGTTATGGTATTACAATTAATATTATGAACTTTGTGCGAAATTGAAAACTATCTTTGAAAATTATAGTAACTAGAAGTCACACTGAAAAACTTGTTTCATGTTGTAATCAGCAACGTGCACTTGAAATGAGAATATGTGATGTTAGAATGCTTGGGTATTAAGCTTTCGATGTGTGTGTGTGTTTTCCTTGAAAGTTCTCCAACTGGGGGAGATTAATTTCAGGATAAAGTCAGTTATATTGAATTCTGAAAGGTGTCTCTTTTTGATTTGATGAAGCATTTTTGTAACTGACCAACATTTCATCACTCTATGCGTCTTTAATATTTTTTTTTCGAGTGTGTGTGTGTGAGAGAGAGAGAGGGGGGGGGGGGGGGTTGGGTTTCCTCCCTTTTTGGATTTGTAATCCAATCTAAGGCTAGTGTAGTCACTTACATTGATGTCAATATATACACATACTAGGTGATGTTCTTTCATGGTTCATGGTTGTATATCATAGTTACAACAAAAATTTAGTTCATGAAATACTTTTATTTTTCATTCTCTACACCTATCTCCTATTTGATCACAAATGGAAAAAGTATGACCACTTTACCTTAATATGTAGATTACCTTATCTCCGCAGATTGGTAAAGATTGTGTGCATGGCCCTAACTTTGCGATAGCGAGACTCTCATGTATTAAGCGATCCTTCTCATGTACTTGAATTGATGTGCATAGCAGCCTTAGAATGAGTCTGTTCTGTTGGGTAAACTTGCATAGTTTATGTTGTTTTCAATAATCAAATATACTTCTAACACCTTAATAGTGAAAAATTACAAAATAGATCATGAAATTGAAAACTATAAACATTGTAGTATAATATCTAATTTTAACAAAGTACATAATTAATGAAGTTTAAAAAGAGCTGGCGCGTAATATTTGGGTCTCGTGCAAACATTGTAATTTCTTTACAAGGTCACTAGTTCAACCAATAAGTTCTCTCATGCTACAGCTAACAATTATGGTTGATTCTTTTCTGAAGTCGGGCTGCTGCAAACCTCCCAGTTATTGTGGGTTCCAGTTCGAGAACGCGACCTTCTGGACAGTTCCAAAATCTGGTCCAGCTGTGCCAGATAGCGACTGCACGATGTGGAGCAACAACCAGACGGAGCTGTGCTTCGACTGCAAGTCGTGCAAAGCCGGAGTTCTTGCCAACATGAGGCGAGAATGGAGGCAATTGGCCATTATCAACTTCATCATCATTATTATCATCATCTGCATCTACTCCGTCGCCTGTTGTGCTCTTAGAAACAACCGAGCTGATGGATATCAAAGACACAAAGGAGGATACCCTTGAGCCATGCATGTTCTTTCATTGTCTAAGATTTATAGATTAAAAATTAGGATATAGTTTATGACATTGTTTGTTACTATACTTTCATATGTTTACTGTTTACTGGGTGTGTTAATTTTATCATTGTTGACTGTGCCAATTGCTTCTTTGTACTACAGATTTAGAGTGCTACTTTGTTCACTTTTATGCATAGCCATTTAACTTCTTTGTAGTACAGATTTAGATTGCTACTTTGTTCAATTTTATGCATAGCCATTTAACATTGGAAGGCCAAATGGTTTGGGTCTTACTCATGAAAGAGATCAAGACCATGAAGACAACCAATATGGTTTTAGCTGTCATGTTTGTTCTTTTCTTTTTTCGGGATTTTTCTACTTGCCATTCCTAAAGTTGTATTCTTTTGAGTACCAGGCCTTTTTTTACATCCAATCACATGAAGTTACAATTCAAACAAACCAAACTATACCTCAATAAGGTCAATTTGGGATTGGTCAAAACTTGGAATCGATCGCAATTTTTTATAATCAATCTCAAGTTTTTTAATCAATCATATTTCAACACATTTAATGGGCAATTATATCCAAAGCATATAATTTCTATAAATCATTACAAAGTCAATACATCATCAAGCATATATCAACATTTTTATCCAACAACAATTCCCAAGAATGTTTTCATATAATCTCATGTAATTAACACACTTTATTTCATATAGGCATTTAATCAAACACTTTCAAGACACCAAATCATGTAATTACATAAAATACTCAAATTCATCACATAATTCAAGAAATCACATTAATTAATTTCTACATACCCAATTATCCAAACTTTCAAGAAATCACAAGTTAGCAATTTTTAATTACCAATTCATACAAGCATTGAATTTATCCATTTCCATTAAATCAACTACAATAGGCAAGTGTTCAAATATATATAACAGCCCACTTATTTCATATAGTCATCCTAGATTGGAAATAAACCTAGTTAGGATGAAAACCCTACTTTTTGAAGCGTAAGACAATGCAGGAAGCTCCAAGAACCCAAATCTCACCCAAAATCAAACTTTTCCCCAAATTTCGTCTTTGAACCTTCGATGAAACCCGTCCTTTTGGTATGATAGCATAGCCCTCGTCGCGTAGATCGGCGTTAATACTTGGTCCGAAGGATTTTAACCGGCAAAACTTTGTAAATCATAGAGAGAAGTTTGGAATTCTCCTTTTTTCTCTCTTCATCTTCCAACGTTAAAACCCAGCAAACCTAGCAGAGATTTTTTGTAGAAATCAGATTTTTGTCCCTTATTTATACCCTTTAATGTTGGGTCCACGTCGCACCATGTGTTCCCTATTCTTGAGTCCGTTTTTGTCTCGAAACGATTAAATTTCGTCTCGGATTAAGTTTAAAATATTTTTATATGAAATTCCTTTAAATAATTTTAAAATTTTTGAAAATTTATTTTTTGGTTCGTTTTGAGGTCACCCGACACCCGGCCGCCTCAAAAAACTCGACTACCTCAGAATTCGACGAAAATTGTCTATGTAATTAGATTTTGCGAGATAAATCCAATGGTGAGGTCCATTTTTTCATCCGAGTTCTAGAAAAATATGAGTTTTTAACCCGCACTGAAGTGATAATTTATCGTTTTGCCCTTTTTCACTAAAATTTAAATTTACCCGGGTTTTACAACAGTAATGCTATAGTGACTTTTGCTACATTAATTCTGCTATAGTGATCTTCCTCTTTCCTACTCTTGCTATCAACAATTTACGGGGAAGAAAAAATGGCATCACTCCTATCTCTCAGATACAACCAAACATCTCACACGTGACTTGGGTGCATAACCATAGGAATAAAAGAAAATCATTATAACAAAATTAATATAACATATTTAAAATAACATTAGTATAACAAAATTAAATTACAATTACATAAGTAACAAGAATTAGTAATATATCAGCATATAAATCAACAGAATAGTTTTAAGCTATGATACCAATAATACTTAGGATCATTAGAATAATAGGTGAAAACTTTAATTAATACAAAACAGAAATTTACAAGATTTACTTACAGAGAAAGTGGAGAGAACTAAAGAAGATGAAAGGAGATTTACAAGAGAAAATGGTGGAAAGAGAGTATCTGAGGAAAGAGAGAAGGGGAATGAAAAAAATGTGTCCAATAGGCTGGACGAACATAAAGAGGCCGGACATGAAAGTCGGATTTCAAAAAGTAAAAAAATTTCATATTCACAACTTTAAGCTATTTATTGACATCATTAAATACGTCATCATCACTGTTTGTGACGTCATGACTTACATCACAATTTTAATTATTATTGGTGACGTCACTACTTACGTCACTCTTTAGTGTTGCATTTTACTGTTGACGCTTCACATGTAGATCAAATTATATGATTCAGCATTATTGATGTCCTAGAGATTTACCTCCATATTTTCATTTTCAGGAGTATAACTTGTAACAGGGGTATATCAATGTAAATCTATAAAATCGTCATCAGAGTTGATAGGAGTGTTGTTTTCCTATCATCCTCCTCAACTTTATTTTTGCCCTTATCTCTTATGGCCACTGTAGGATTATTCACGAGATCTATCTTCTCAGTTTTGCCATCCCGAAAGTGGACATCATTTGAAGATGCATTTCGTCCATAACTGTCGCTTTAAGCTGCTCAATTGTTAGATGAGGTTTTTCTTATATATATATATATATATATAATAAAATAGCTAGATTATTTATCTTGAGCTTTTCACGGTTCAGATCGTTTGAGGATTATTGATCAAACCATCATAATTGGACTTCATTCCTTTTACAACTTTAAGACCCCTATACACTCAACTCTATCTCTATCTCTATCTCATACACTCAACTCTATCTCTATCTCTATCTCAATCTCTTTTAAATACATACTCCATATATCTCTCTCTCCTATCTCTCAAACATTTTAAATATACTCTTCCAAACACACATTTTCTCATCTCTCATATAACTTTCTCTCTTTATATTATGTGTATTGTAACCTTCAATGCTTCTTTACTCAAAGTTTGCAATTTTGACATGACTTTATTGTTGTTAAATATTATGGCTTATATGTGCAATAACTATTTTTGGTATTTATATACTCATAAATTTGTATGATTTTATAGATCAGAAAATATTTAAATGTTAAAAAAAAAAATTCCAGATTGTAGATATTCAAAACCAAGCTAATCACAGAAACAAAAAAAAAATTCAAATTCAATCTAATTACCAATAAAAATTAACAATGACCAATAAAAAAAAGTGAAACCAATTGCACCAAAAAACAATATTCAAAATCAACGACAAATTTTTTTCCCCAAGTTGTAGATATTCAAACTCAAGCTAATCACCAATAAAAAAAAATAACAAAGCCAAACATTTGAATAATTTTATAGAATAAGAAAATATTTGAATTCTAAAAAAAAATTTCCCAAGTTGTAGGCATTCAAAGTCAACTAATCACCAATAAAAAAACAAGTAAAATCAATTGCACCAAAAAAACAAAAACAATCAAAGCCAAGAAATCACCAATAAAATCAAATAAAAACAAGTGAAACCAATTGCACAAAAAAAAAAAAAAAAAAATCAAAGTCAAGCTAATCACCAATAAAAAAATAACAAGTGATACCAATTGCACCAAAAAAAAAAAAAAAAAAAATCAAAGTTAAGCTAATCACCAATAAAAATATGACAAGTGATTGAGTTTATAATTATGTTGTGTAATTAGGTTGAATGGTGACAATGGTGAAAAATTCATACATCTTATAAATGAACAAGATTTTATTTATTACTTAAAAATTAAAAATTTTATTAGGTTTCGATAGTATTTATTTCGTCCTGAGACATTTGTATGTGTGATGTTTTGGGAAATTTTTTATACATATTTGTGATAGTTCTATTAATATGGAGGATATGATTGACAGTATATTTTAGGTCATTTTAAAAGAATTGGTATAAATATTTTTGGACAATTTTCTCTTTCAAGCTGGACAATTACTTGCAATTTTTTTATATTTAATATAATGTCTTTAGGCACAGACAATGACTAATATATATACACACACACATTGGTAGGCAAGAGTTCATCCATATCTATATAAAATATATTTACAACATTCCCCCTTGGATAATTATTATGTTAAGATAATATGCATCGTTAAAACCTTGCTAGGAAAACCTTGTGAAAAAAATCCTAACGAAAGAAAAGAGTACATATTCAGATTAATCTTATAATAGCATTGGACGCACTAATGTGTCTCATTAAAACCTTGTTAAGAAAGCCCAATGGGACAAAACCTAAACGAACGAAAAAAATTACAACGTGCATATGTCCTATATCTTGATGTGGCTATTACTCCTGATGAAAATCTCCCCCTGATTAGAAATCAATTGGATTTGTCACAAACTCGGCACATTCCAATGCTATATCCCAATTTCTTGAACGTTGATGATGATAAAGCTTTAGTGAATAGATCAACAAGATTATTACTAAGTTGTATCTACTTTACTTCAATTTCATGACTTTGTTAGAGTTCATGAGTGTAGAAGAACTTTGGCGAAATATGCTTGGTTCTATCACCTTTGATAAACTCTACATTAATTTGTGCAATGCAAGCTGCATTATCTTCATATAAGACTATTGGTACATTTGTAATCAAAGAAAATTTGCAAATATCTTGAATGTGATGGACTATGAACCTTAATCACACACATTCACAGCTCGCTTCATGGAATGCAAGTGTTTTAGAATGATTGGAAGATGTAACAGTCAAAGTCTGCTTCATAGATCGCCATGAGATTGTTGTGTCACCACATGTGAAAACATACCTAGTTTGTGAACGAGTCTTGTGAGGATCTGATAGATATCCAAAATCTGCATATCCGACTAATTATGGACCATTGATTGATTGCTTTGAACATAACAAACTCAAATCTGCAATTCCACAAAGATAATGTAGAACATGTTTTATATCATTCCAATGTCGTCGAGTTGATACAAAACTAAATCTTGCCAACAAATTGACTGCAAATGCTATATCAAGCCTAGTACAATGTGCTAAGTATAAAAAAGCACAAATTTCACTTAGGTATGGTACTTCAAAACCAAGAAATAT